ACGGTGCACCTTGGAGACCTCTCCATTTCTTTCTTAGGCCTGCTACAGTCGCCCCAATAAACCCTATCCAGCTGCTACTATGTGGGGGTATTGTGTAACAGTCTCCTACAGGATCAAAACATTCTATCCTGCTGGGGAGTGGGGAGGGAAAAACCAAAATAATAATTGCTGTGGGATGTTCTGTATGGCAAATGTGTTGCTCTGATTGTTCAATAAATAAAACACTGATTGGCCAGTGGCTAGGCAGGAAGTATAGGCGGGACTAACAGAGAGGAGAAAAGAAAGAACAGGAAGGCAGAAGGAGTCACTGCCAGCCGCCGCCAGGACAAGCAGCATGTAAAGATGCCGGTAAGCCACCAGCCATGTGGCAAGGTATAGATTTATGGAAATGGATTAATTTAAGATAAGAACAGTTAGCAAGAAGCCTGCCACGGCCATACAGTTTGTAAGCAATATAAGTCTCTGTGTTTACTTGGTCCGGTCTGAGCATCTGTGGGACTGGCAGGTGACAAAGATTTGTCCTGACTGTGGGCCAGGCAGGAAAGCTCTAGCTACAAATAATAATAATAATAATAATAATAATAATAATAATAATAACTTCAAGAACTTCCTGGAACTGGCCAGACACACCAGGCCTCTCTCCCTTTAGAGTAAACAGAGCCCAGCTGCAAAGAAGACTGTCCAACAAGGGCTCCTGGGAGAGGTTCAGGCAAACTGAGACACACGGACAGGACGTTCTCCAGCCTGTTGAGCTCCCTGCAGGCTGTGCAGTGTGCTCCAGGTTTCCCATGTCCCTTTGTGAGCTGTCACTCATGCTGGGGTCGCCTTTGGTGACACAACTGTCTTGGAGTCGGTTCTGCCCCTGTGTGTAACCCTCACCCCTATGTAGGGTGAATTCTAATTGGTCTTAATAGTAAAAACCCAGCGTCAGGTATAGGGGTAAATGCGGAAAGATCAGAGAGGAGCTAGCCAAAGTCACCTCTTACCTCGGACCGAAAAGGGGCTGAGCTCCCGTTTCTCTGTCTTATATTACTGTCTCCACCTCCCTGGTGCTGGGATTAATAGCGCGAGCCTTCATCACCTGGCTCTGTTTCCATTTTGAACTGGGTCAACCTCATGTATCCTAGGGGCGTCTTGAACTCCTGATCTTCCTGCTTCCTCCTCCCAAATGCTGGGATTAAATGTGCATGCTACCACTTGCCTGGCCTCTGTGGTTAACTAGTGGCTTTCCCCTTTGTCCCTCTGATTTCTAGGCAAGCTTTATTTGTTAGAGCACAAACAAAATTTCACTACACTACTTATTCCTACGAGCAACCCAGTAAAGCTCATTGGTTCACAAAGTTGGACTTCAGTGGTATCCGTACTTTGGTCTGTTGTAGGCTCGCTATCTGGGGTGAAGAGAAGAGTGTGTTTCATCTCCTCAGGGAAGGTTTTGTCACACAACAAGTGGTGGGGGGTTGTGGGGATGGTGGTGGTTCAGAGAGGGGGACAAATACTGGGGAGACAACTTCAGTGTTCCTCTGACTAGCTTTCAGACACCATGATGTCTCTAAATGTAGCCAGCAAAGCCATAGGGAACATATTGAGAGGACCATGGTTCTGGTTCTACCCATTGGTATTTGCAGTCCCCTAGGTATCTTTGGTTCTCTTGAGACTCAGTATCCTCCTGTGTGAATGAGTGTTTTAATACACACCTTTCCTACCCTTTGGCAGTGCAGTAAAGATCAAACCAGATACCATATGCAAAAGCACTTTGAAATACAAAGCGTGATACAAATGTCTGACATGTCTCTTGCTTTCTCACACAGAATGCTTAAGGGATTTAAAGAAATCCCACTGTGGTTATAGGAAGATTAGGATAAAAGAGCATGGCAAAATTCATCCTTACTAATCATGCATCCAGAGCACATGGTGGTGGTGGTGGTATTTCTGTGAATGAAAGAGCACACCTTTCCTGCGTTTCCTGGAAGAGCGAACAGCTGAGAGCCTTTGAGTCCAGCACAGGAGTTCCTAATTCTCCCTGTCTGTTCCCTTGAGTCCACTCTCCACCAGATGATCCCGTGCTTCTGTGTCTCCCAGACTCTGATTGTCCACGATCCTCCTTCTGAAGCCACATGGGTCTTTTCTATTACAAGGGCTCCTCCATCAAACTGATACCACTGTGTTCTACTGACTCACCAGCTCCTGTCCAGTGGGCAGGAATTCAGCATGGTGACAAAGAGGTTATCCTTTCTCTGATGATTTGTGACAGCACAGAGGTAGTTCAGGTACAAGTGGCGTTTATCTGGGGGCAGGGATCACACCACGTAGTTCTGGTTTAACCTTCTTTCTGCCCAGTGCATTTGCGCTTAGTTAATATTTGCTGCATTTCTGTAATAAGTGTAGGCAGCAATTTGCTTTATCAGGACTTTTAAGCATAGGCTTTTAATTATCTATTTAACTGAAAAATAAACACGATTTGTGTCATTTAGCTTTGGGATTATGACAAGGCAGAATGAATGCTCTTGAGTAACACTGACTGCTTCCCAACTTCTTTTCTTTTCCATGCATATTGTTTCTGTGCCCTGTTGAGGACAGGGACAGACTCTATGCAAGAGAGAGTGAAGAACTGGATGGAGAAGATAAAATCCAATACTTGCCCTGGAGGGTAAAAGAATGGGAATGGGCTAGAGATGACACCAACATTGAAAATTTAAACTTGCTATTAATATGAAAGAGAAACAGGACGCGCGAGCAAAGCTGAAACATCCCTAACCCAGGAGAACAAATTATCTTTTCATGATACTCTTGTTGAAATGATGGGCAATATTTTACAATTTCTTTTTATGTCTATGAGTGTTTTGCCTTATGTTTGTATATATACCACATGTGTGCCTGGTCCCTTCAGAGGTCAGAAGAGGGCATTAAATCCCCTAGAACTAGAGTTACAGATGGTTATGAGCCACTATATGGGTATTGGAACAGAACGCAGGTCTTCTGCAAGAGCAACAAGTGCTCTTAACCACTGAGCCCTTAGTAATTGGCATTTTTAAACTTTTTTTTTTACTTCAAAATGTAACATTTCAGTTTTCCAAAAAGTATATCTGTAATTCTATTTTCTTAATATTTTTTTGTTTTTCTACATAGTTTTCAATCTTTGTGCCAATGCATTTTTTTTTTAAAAAAATGTTTTCTTGCTTCTGAGTATACTATTGTTTCTGAGTTGTCCTTGTAGTAGAATATTTTAAGGTATATTACTTTTGTTTATGTTGCATTTGTTTAACTCTGTGAAGCTGTGTTACTGTACTTGTCTAAAACACCTGATGATCTAATAAAGAACTGGCCAATAGCAAGGCAGGAGAAAGGATAGGAGGGGCTGGCAGGCAAATGTTATATATAGAAGGAGAAATCTGGAAAGGGAGATTGCGAATGAGCCAGAGAAGGTGAAGACATCAGAGGCCAGCCACCCACCTACACACACAGCAAGCCACAGAGTAAGAATAAGATACAGAAATAATAGAATAGAAAAGCCCAGAGACAAAAGACAGCCAGGATAATTTAAGAAAAGCTGGCCCCAAACTAAGCCAAGATAAGGCTGGGCATTCATAATTAAGAAAAAGCCTCTATGTGTGATTTATTTGGGAGCTGGGTGGTGGGCCCCCCAAAAGAGTAAAAACAACAACAACAACAACAATGTGCCCTAGCAAGACTAATTGTTTGTGGTGTGGGGGCTCAGAATTCGGAATGGCTCCAGGAATTCTAATCCAGGTTGTTTAGAAGCTGGTCACATGGCTGGGCAGTTCCTGGGCAGGTGTGTCCTGACATTTAAAAGGTCCAGTGTAGAGGTGGAAGCAGAAAAATGGCTCTGGGCTGTAAAACAAAACAGAAACTTTCCAAATGGGAAAGGAATGGTTTCTGTTTCTGAGTGGTAAGGTAGCTCAAATAAGTAATTTCAGATGTTATGAACGTCTCTCCAACGTAACCATAGCAAACAAGACACAAAAGGCAAGAGTCCCTCTAAAGTGACCACTGCCAGTGCCAAGGCACTTCCACACTCCGTGTATTAAAGCCAGTCTGAGGAAACCTCAGCATTGTAAGGGACTTAAAACGTTGGAGACGATAGGCAAGGTGGCAGGCCTGTAATCCCAGGACTTGGGAGGTGAATGCAGAAAAATCAGGCATTTAAAGTCATCCGGCTTTTAATTGAAACAGCATTGCATCACGCTTGCCCTCCATTTGTTCTCTCTCTCCAGCTCTTCCCAGGCACCCTTCCTAACAAAACCCCATGTCTTCCTCACTCTCAGGTTGATAGCCTTTTTTTCATTGATTATTAGATACATACGTACATAATTTATCTTTTCCTTCCTTCCTTCCTTCCTTCCTTCCTTCCTTCCTTCCTTCCTCCCTCCCTTCCTTCCTTCCTTCCTTCCTTTCTCTATCATTTATATAGTCTATCATTTATCATCTACTATATCTATCTATCTATCTAACATCTATCTATCTAATATTTGTCTCCATTCATCTATCCATCCATGGAGATACACCTGCTCAGATGATTTTTTTTATTTGTACATGGTTTCAGGACTGACAACTCAGGGCTGATGACTCTGCACTGGACAGCCCATAAGGGCTCTGGGAGAGGCTAACTCTCCTAAGAGTCAACAGTGACAATATTGGTTATTAGGTTCTTCCAGATTAATTGGGTTTCAGGAGCGATTAGAAAGACAAATGGCTAGAGTAGGGACTGTCTAAAACTGCAGCTAAAAGACATGTCGGATCTGAGGGAGGCCACTCTGGGTTTCAGGTCCTGCCCCACCTGTCCTGGCAGAGTTCAGGGGGGGACCAGAGCCGGTGGGCCCCGAGCCACCGCCAGCTGTGCGTTCTGGGCGTTTTGCGGGTGGCCGCCAGGCGTCGCGCTGGAGCCGCGGTTGCCCTGGAGACCGCTGGGCGAGCGGGCAGGCGGCGCCGAGCCCCTGGCTAGGGACTAGCTGGCGGGAGCCGCGGGGGGGAGTGGCCGCGACGGCCGGCCGGCGAGCCCGGGACGCCCGAGCCTGCCCCGAGCCTCAGCGGAGCGGAGCGGCCTCGGCGCTCCGGAGTCCCGCTTGGTCCCTGCTGCACCCCGCCGCCTCGGAGCCCGGTGGACGGCGGCTCCCGCGGCGGCCCCGGCATGACTCGGCGGCGCTCCGCTCCGGCGTCCTGGCTGCTCCTGTCGCTGCTGGGTGAGTAAGTAGCCCAGACGGTCCTCGCGCGGCCGGGACCGAGCCTGTTGGCTCCCGCAGGTGCTGGGAACCCGTTGTCCCGGGCAGTGGGGTTGGGGGAGGCCCGCGTCACCCAGGTGTCCCCGAGCGCCCTAACCCCTGCGCGGCTCCTGGCCACCACTTCCCCGAACGAACTCTCGCTGCCGGTCCGGTTAGAAATCGTGTTTAGAATCGCTTGCCGTTATTAGAAGGCTCCAGAGGAAAACTTTGTAGCTTTACCGCAAGGTTTTAAGGAGATTTGAGATTTTAAAAGAATTAAATTGATTAAAATGCGTTCGCAATTTTTAAAAGGTAGCTTCGTTATTACATTTAAAGCTCACGCAGGATTAACAATCTGTTTCTTTTTTTCTTAAATAATCCATTAGTCTACTCGATTAGATCGGAAAGCAAAGTTTATTTACACTCTTAGTTTCGTAACCGAAGGACCTAAGTTGCCTCATAAAAGTACATAGAATGTAGCAGTCTGAGGGAGAATTTGAAAGCACTTGCTTATTCAAATTTAATTTCTTTAATTTTCTTGCATTTTGTCGTCACCCCCATAGTCATCATATGTAGACTCTGAATTTCATTTTATACAATGCTCCCTTTGTGTGTGCATTGTTTTATGCAATCAAGTTTTCTGTCTCAACTAATTGGTTGCTGAGGTTTACGGAAATTTGTTCTGAAGGCCTTTATTTATCAAGCTAGTTTAGTGATGTAGAGTGCTGTGGTGAACTGTATTTCTCTCTAGAGAAACCTCTAGATTTAGATCTCTCTAGAAATCTCTCTGTAGCTTTCCAATCATTTTTTTTTTTATGTCTAACTTAAGTAACTCAGTTTTAGACTGTTCACCTAGAAGAGGAGAAACCAGTTAAGTGTATTTTTTTTTTTTGGTAGATGCCAGGGAAGATGAAAACATCATTGTTCTGACTTCTTGAAGTTCAGTACGCATATTTTTAGTGACAATATGCAGATAATTGTGTCGTACACACCAATATGTACTTTTAGGCACTTGGGCTTTCAAACTGTTTTTGTTGTTGACCACTCTGAGCAGGCCTGTTTCTCTTCCCTCCTGTCAAAGGAGACTGGAGAGGATACAGAGACGATTCTTACAACCCCTGAACACAGCTGGACCGTTAGAAATGTTGCTGTAAGAACAGCTGAAATGTTTTTGATAGAAAAATCTGTTGTTAAACTTGGTCTGTTGGCTAATAGTTTGGGTATGGGTTGACTTTGAATTGATTAGGCAGTACTTTTAAAGAGGTAATTTCATTTCTAGAATCAGCCAGGCCTAGTCACCTGAGTGATGCCTTTGCTTTGCGTAGAACTATCTCTACTTAATACTATAATGCTGCCGAAGATTTCCAGCATAGTCTCAATCTTTGGGATAGTCTATTCTGGAGAGCCACTTTTCATCCTTAAAAAAAAAAAAATGTGTTCCTCTGTTCAGCAGATATTTTCGTTGCTACCACTGGGTGCATTTGGTGGGTAGGTCGGGCAGGGAGATGGTGGAGAGATACAAAGTTTGTCCGCAGCCCTTAGGAGATTTGCTTTCTTAAAAAGACTATCAGCATGCACAAATAATTTATGGCACGGCAGATACATGATGAATAACATTTGCTAGCGACATCAGGGACTCTTTACTAGTCACTGAAAAGTTAACTTTCGATCTGGACTTGGATTGCATAGAATTTAGAGGATGTAAATTGAGAGTGGTTGGGCTTTTGTAGCTCAAGGAACAGTGGGAATAAAACATACATGAAGGGAAAGTGCAGAGGCATGTTCTTGAGAGGGCGGGCTTCTAGTTGGAAGGGCAGAGGGAGGGCAGAGGGAGGGTGGAGATGGCAGGTAGAGCTGAGTGCTGGCTTCGGGCTTCATCTTGGGAAAGGCCACAGGGATGTTTCCTTATTGGCCGATGTGCTGAGAGTGTGGGCATTGCTGTTCCTGGTGTCCAGGAGAATGTTGTGTCCCTACTGAGTTCTTGAACCAGGCAGTGGCAACATTGGTTTGAGTGAATTGTGGTGTATCTTTAGGACTTCTGTGGAGTTGGCTCTGTTATAAGGGAGAGGGAGGTTGGGTTCTGGATAAGTGACCAGCAGCAGTGATGGAGGAATCGTATACCAGAAGTAGAAGAGTCTCTTCAACCAAAGAAGGAAAATGGGTGTCATGACATCACTGTTATTTTTGTTAAATTTCTGTGAAATAAGTTCACAGGGAATTTTGTTAGAAAAGTTTACTTCTGTGTAATTCCATCGGTGACTTAGACATGGTTTAAATGAGCCAGGTATGGTGACGCACGCCTTTAATCTCAGCACTCAAGAGGCAGAGGCAGGTGAATTGCAGTGAGTTCAAGGGTAACCTGGTTTACAGAGTTCCAAGCTAGCCAAGGCTACATAATCAGACTCTTATGTACAAATAAACAAGAAATATCTGAAATATTTTTTTTCTACTTGGGATTCTTTGAAATAGCAGATAATTTTGCAGAATTTGAGAAAGTGTTTTTTTTAAAAAAAGGCCATATCAAAAACAAAGAACCACGAATCTTTTATTGTTGGTATTTGGAGAGGCTGATTGTAAATTTCCACTTCTCAGCTTTAAGTTTAATTATGTAACTAACTGTTTTTGGAAGACTTCACTTTTTAGTCAAAATCTGTGGTTTGACCCTCTGGAAAGATGACAGATACCATGTGAAAATTTTGGAGACGTTTAGCTCACTCAGCGTACAGTACTCAGGAAGCGGTTTAAGCGTTAAGTCATTTAGAGTTTTTATAATGTTATGCTTAGAACTGTTATCAGACCCAAGGTGATGATGCAATGGCGAAGGTGCTTGTTTGGGCTCTTACCCCCCCCCCCCTGGTGACAGCAAGTGGCACATTTTCAAATGTGTTTTCACACTTCAGTAGTGGAAACACCTATACCAAAAATTCCCATTTGAATCTTCAGACTTAAGCCATGTGATTTAGTGGCAAACAAGGCGATATATGCTGGGGCACAAGATTCGGTATCGTCCCAGTGACAGGAAGTGAGGGGTGGGCAGTGTTTCCTGAGTTGGAACCAAATTGGGGAGTTGTTGCTTTCCCCGGGATTCAGATGATCTCTAAACCTGTTGTGGTGGTGCATGTGTGTAATCCCAGCACTTGGGCGGCCAAGACGGGAAGATTACAAGTTAGCTTAGACTTAGACTACATAGCGAGTTCTGTGGTTGAACCTGGACTATGCAATGGAGGGTGGTCTCAGCTTCATTTTCCCACCGATCTCCCCTAGAACCAGTGTATTTAAAATAAGGGTTCTAGGTCTATTGTTATCTGGGCCGGTCATAACAATTTATTTCGACTCCCTCAGCTTTTATGTGTGTTTGGCATTTTGAAGCAGGATTGCTGAATTTCTAGTCTTGTCTCTAGCTGTAAGCACAGTCACCCTAAATCCCCCCTTTGATGAGGACTAGCTGGCACCAACAGGTCTCAGCCTGCTCTCCAAGAACAGCACCCCTCCCGACCATCTGGAGGATGTCAAGTCCTCTCCTGATCACACTTGTGTGAGCAACTGGCTTAAGAGAGGTTGTCAGTTCCTGGGTGGCCTTCCGAAGTCGTCTGATTGGAGTTCTGTCATCAGGGCAGGATGGCAGTCAAGCGCATCTTAAAACCATGAAGTTTTTTCTCTCCGTGTAAGTTTGGGTAGTTGACATCCCTCCCCACCCCCTGTAGGATTTCTGTGTGCAGGAGACTGACTTCAGCCGTGGTTTGCATTTGTTGCAGACATGGGAAGTCAGAGGGAGAAATGAGTTTTCTAATTTGCAGATGAGCCCTTCCTTCCCCAGCACTCCGCCCCAGTGTACCATGGCCAGCATCACTGACTGTGGAGCTGCTATGTTGTGTGGCTCTGCCTCACTCCTGTATCATAGGAAGAAGCAGATGGCAATAAAGCATCACTCTACTTTTCTGATTAGGTTAGGATGAAACCAATACAAATTTGCCAGTGTGGACGAAGACTGCTCAATGGGTAGTCTTTTGAAAAAGTTGTCTCGTTTCCATCCACTAAACTTTCGGATCTTAAGAGGAAGGTAAACTGTTACTATGAGAGATGGTACTTTCATGAGAAAAGTAAGGAAGTTTAAATCCTGGAAGAAGGTGCTGAGCTCAGGAAGTACATGTACCACATATTTTTTTAGAAGAATTTTCGGAGAATTAAATTAACGGTGGCTTCGGCTGATGGTAGGTCAGGATTTAGGGTTAAAGTACATTAGGTTTGTGGAATAGGAACGTAGATGCCATGTTTTCACTGAGGGTCACAGGGTAACAGTGAACACAACCTTATCGTCATGGAGCCACAGCTTGGCTAGTCCTAAAAGACTCCTTCATTGAATATTTTAAAACTCTGAAACGAGAAAAGCCTGTTGGAAATCTCACCACTGGAAACAAAACAAGGTGTCATCATAGAGCAGACATCTCCCCCGACCCCTGTCCAAAGTCTCATGGTTCATAGCACTGCTTATGTGAAATTTCCCTACCGACTTCTCGCTAATGTCCATTCTTTTCATTTCTCTTTCCTCCTCTTTGCCTGTTTTGGAGTCTGTTTTGGCTTTCTGCTGATAGCATCGAATTCTTCGAAGGTAATCAGTTTAGTCATTCTTGGCTGCGTCTAGTTACTCATTTTACTAATTTTGCACCAACAAAACAGATGCAGAGATCGTCTCAGCTGCTGGGCATTGGTGGGCGTATGAGGGAGTACTGAGGACTACATGGGGCATTTCCTCCTTGTTCTGTGAAGGTCACTCTGTGCGTGTTCTTGGAATACTTGAAGAGAATATTGTTTTCCTTTTTTTTTCTAAAAAAAGAAATTGTAGACTCTGTTGTCATTTCTTTTAGGAATTGGAATGCATTGTGTCAGTCTATTATATAATTTTATATATATGTAATACATATATGTATATTATATAAGTTATACTAAGGTTTGGCATATATTTTGTAGAAGAGGTGACAGAG